TAACATATGTTTATATCCAATTCATATAGTTTAAAATGGTCTATAAATCACCAAAAGTTTTAGTAATTATTTTTTTCATACTATTTTGTTTTTTGTTATATATAGAAATCAACATACGTTTGATATACAATTTATAAAATTTAAAATAGTCTTTAAATTCATCAATTTCTAGTAAATATGACTAATAATATATATAAAACTATGATATGATAAAACCAATATGTTAACTATAGGTTTTGTTTTGCAACTAACATTGGTTTTTCATGTATAAATATTAAATTACAATTTGTTAAAAATTATTATTTTAATTAAATAATTATATTATCGCACAATGCGCGAGGATTCGACTAGTAGCCAATATATTTCCCTGCTATTTTGCATCTTATCTAAGTAGTTATTCAATTCCCTATTAGAACCATGATTTTGTCAAGAGAAAGAAGTTTAGGAATAGGACATGGACACAAAATGATCACAGATAATGATCTCTTACGAAACATAACTTGTTTTTTTATTATTAAAAACAACTCATACTTACCTACAAAGTTCTCATTACATTTACCTACACTACCTTAACTCTAAGAACATACAAAAGAACCTAATCTACTAAGAGAAAAATATATACAAGAAACAAGAAAATTATGTCAACTACAACTCTTTACTTTTGTCATAAGACCGACTTATATAAAGTATACTTATTTCACCTATTCCACTAAGTGCCTAATGTCAGACTCAATGACTCATACTAATATATATAATACATCAGCTATTACTATTATATTAGTATTAAGGAATAGAGTACAATCGATAACTGCAATAGTACAAGAGCAACGCATCTATAACTTCGACTTATTCACTTCTACCCCTGAAACTTTATTTAATCTGTACAGCTATCCTCTAACTCTACTAAATATGACTCCAACAGGAACATTTTTTTTATTTCTTCAACCTACAAACAAGCATACCAAATTAGAAATAACATCTTTCTCAACATGATCTCAAATAAAAAGAAGTTTAGGAAGTAGCAATACCTTTTTCTGGGTTCTTAATTATCAAAAAAAAAAAGTTCATAAGTAGCGATTAGTTGGTCTATATTTAATATGTTTTTGTAACGTATTACATTCTTTTATGTTCTTTTATGAATAAATGTAGTAGTTAACTTTGGCCTAACGGTATCAGGAGTTAACGGATAAATGTCTCTTTCAGACGAAGATTGAGGGTTTGATGTGGAAAAAAGATGTAGATTTATGAATAAAATAGTGGGTTTGTGTGTATGTATAAACCTATAAATTCTCAACTTTGTCCTTTCAACCAATGTATTTTCCATACATTTCTTCTAATTATTAATAATAAATTTTAGTAACCTTTCTTAATCAAATGCTATCAAATATTTCCAACACCCACTGAATATCGGTAGGAAATTCCTAACCACTTTGGTATGCCGTATGCCTACTATTTTTATGATAATCCACAACCATATTCAATGTTTATGTCTTCAACGAATCACGGAAGATACGTGTTGTCATTTCTGACAATATTCACATCCAAGATGGTGACCAGTTTCCACCCTAACACAAATAGGGTTTGAATCTATTGATTCAGATATTGGTGTTGACATACATGAAAGCGATGGAAGTTATAGCCGGAGGGAGTCGTATCAGATTCTCTCATGTTACCACACTTGTGGTTTTTTATCACACCTAAAGAGTGGTGTGACACTTATTTTTTAAAAATTATTTAAAAAAAAACTAAATTATAATTATAAAAACTTTATTTTTAATAAAAACATTTCATTACTTAAAATTTAAAAAAAACATTACATTGCATTACTTAAAAAAAACAACATACCATGACATTAAAAAACACACATCAAACGATTTGACCACAAGCGACATACACTTGCTCTGCCATTTGACCACAAACAACAACATCAAAAATAATTTGAAATTCTTCAAACACGAAGACGAAAACATTTTCTACTGATTTTGAGAGAAAAAATATAGAAAGATATAAAAAGTTGGTTTTGGTTTGAAGAAATAAGGGTTAAAGTTGGGTTTTGTAGGTAAAAAACAAATATATATATATATATATATATAGTATATATATATATATATATATATATATATATATATATATATATATATATAATATATTATATATATATATTGAGGAATGATCATTTGAGAACTCATAGTTTCCCGAGAACCCGAGAACTAAAAGTCATTCGTTAGATAAAAAAAGGATGGTCAAGATGCTTTGTGGCATTTTTGTAAATAAATGAGAAAGTAAATGAACGGGGGTACTGAAACAAAATTGAATTGGGGGTATTTTAGGGATATAGATATTGACCCTATTTAGAGAACATCAATCCAGACGCCTTGTTTCGAGTTTTGAAGATGATACCTTCTGGTGGATGATTTCTCTGTAAACCCTTACATGACTGCCATGGAGTTCGTCAATCTCCCCTAGAAACCACATCACCGCCATCACCTCCTGTAAGACCTACACCATCGCCATCGTCTCCTATAAATTGACGATCTCTTCTCCTTCCTCCCTACATCGGTCTACTACTCTTCCAGTCAAAGATCTTCCACATCAGCCTCCTTCCCTCTCCGTCGACCATCAACAATTCATCATTAATCACACGGTGAAGGTAATTTTCTTCTGATCATTGAATTTTCTAGTTTTTGTTCGGTTCCTAAGATCCAAAAATGACAGCTAGGGCATATATCATGTTTCAAAGTTTTGAATTCTCTACCTTGCTTTATGCATATATCACGTTTCAATTGATCGATTTCGTTCCATGGATCAATTGGTCTAATCCATGCCTGAGTCTCCTTTATGGCGACGCACCTGCACCTCACTCACTCTCACTTCTTCCTCCCTTCTTACAAACTCCTCTTAACCGCCGCTCCAGAACCTCGCCTTTGTCAATTCGGCGTTCGTCACCGCCGCTGCCTCCTCGTCACAGATTGTGCTTCGTCACCGCATGAAATAAGATTTGCAATTTGTTGCTTCATTTTCAATTGCATGTATCTCTGTATGTATTTGTTCGTGCTGATTTGTTTACCTAATTCGAGGTTCATTAAACGAATTTTGTGCTTTAGAGTTGCCAGTAGGAAACCGGCGAGGACCAATGCATATCTCTGCAACGATTTAAGGGAATTTATGTCCGATGTTGGGTTTCCTGACGGACATGTTCCTTCTTTGAAGGAGCTTTCGCACCATGGCAGGTTTAGTTTCTGTAGCATTATATTACTCTTCTTTATTTCCAATTCCTTGTTCTGCACTTGAATACATGTCTGCTGATATATATGCTTTACTTGTCATGGAAAAACATTCCTGATACTAGAAATTGCTTGCATCCTTAGTAACAAATGGTCAGTAGGAATCAGTCAAAAAAAATTAGTAGAGCTGTGACATGATATGAGGGTGTTTATAAATTTTTCTGTGAGGAAAATCACTTCTTACCTGGGTAATCATGGAGATTCAATGGAAATTTATCATATTGGCTTAAGAAATCTGTATATCATTTGATTTCAGGTCTATCCTCACACTGTATTAAAACATACATTTCATTAGAAAGAAAATTATATGCTTTATGGAAATGGCTTCTACTTGTTGAGAATTTTTTTGAATTATTCTTTTGTTCTTACATTACTATATAGGCAAGATCTTGCGAACCTTGTGAGAAGAAGAGGATACAAACTTATTAAAGAGCTTCTTGCAGCCTCACAAGAGGTCAAAGTCAATGATTTTAATGTAGATGAGAGCTTGACTGATAATCAGGAAAATACCAATACTGAAGAAGATGAATCAACAGGTGTTTTTTTTTTCTTTTCACTTTTTACAGCATGGAATAAAGTTAAACTCAAAACTCTTCTTATTAAATCATTTGTATTAAAAAGATTTAGATGAGAATGGAACAAAGTTGGCTGAAGCTGTGTTGTTGTCGAATGAAGAGACTTCCACTAAACCATGAATCTACTAATGAAATGAAGGTATGGTTTTTTTATCTGTTTTACCTTTTTGCTAACAAACATGAATCTACAAATGTTGCTAAAATTCAGAATTTAGCTTCAGGGTTCAAAAGATGGGCAATAAAATGTCCATTTATCAGATATTGTGATTTACATGTGCATCACTTGTGATTCACATGTGAATCACTTGTGACAGATGTGAATCATTTGTGATTTACATGTGAATCATATGTAATTCACATGTAAATCATCTTAATTTTTTTTTCTAACCATATAGTTTATTTTAATTGTTTCTATATTGAGCTTCATGGATCACTTGTGATTTACATGTGAATCACTTGTGATTCACATGTGAATCACTTGTGACACATGTGAATCATTTGTGATTTACATGTGAATCACATGTAATTCACATGTAAATTATCTTAATTATTTATTTTTTTCTAACCATATAGTTTATTTTAATTTGTTTCATTTTAGAAATATATCACAAGTGAATCACATATGAATTACATGTGATTTACATGTAAATCACAAATTAATCATATGTAATTCACAAGTAAATCACAAGTGATTCACATATGAATTACATGTGATTCACATGTAAATCAAATGTAATTCACATGTAAATCACAAGTGAATCACATATGAGTTATTGGTTATTCATATGTAATTTACATATAAATCATATGTAATTCACATATGAATTACATGTGATTCATATGTAAATCACAAGTAAATCACATACGAATTACTAAATGTAACTCACAAGTAAATTTCATATGAATTACATGTGATTCACATATAAATCACAAGTGAATCACATATGAATTACGTCTATATACACACATGTGTTTTTGTGAGTTTTTCTTGCATTAATCAATTTTTTTTTTATTTTTTTTGTAGATTTGGAAGAATTTGTGGAAAATATTGAAGAGGTGAAAAATAATAAAGTAAAGAAAATATGGAAATCTTGACACGAACACATGAAAATGCTTTGAAATTTTGTAGTGTTTTTTTGTTTTTTTATATTTTATTTTGTATCGAATAAAATACTTGTATTATTGTGTTTATAGATTATTAAATAAAATGGATTTTTTATATGATTACTTACGAGTATTATAGTATAAGAAAGATGCATATATGTACTTGAAAAATATGCATATATGCACCTAAAACGTTGATTTTTTTTGTTAAACAAATTAGGTTTTTTTTTTAAATATTCTAGTTTTTTTTTTAATTTATTGATTTTAAAAAATTTACTTTTTAAAAAAAATAAAGTTTTTGAAAATTGCAGTTTTTTTTTTTTTGAAAAAAATGCAATTTTTTTAAAAAAAATGCAGTTTTTTTTGAAAAAATTGCAGTTTTTTTTGAAAAAAATGCAGTTTTTTTGAAAAAAAAATATTCTTTTTCAATTAAAAAATGAAAAAATATCCATTTTTTTTATGTAAATTCAAAAATTATTTTTTAAAAAAAATCGAAATTTGATTTATTATGTTAATTTTTAGAACTTTTTATTAATATTTCCAATAACAAAAAAAATTAAATATTAAATGAGATCGGTAAGATGACGATCATGCCCTTAATGAATTAGTTTTGATCCAACGCTCCACTTTTAGTTCTCGGATTCTCGGGAAACTATGAGTTCTCAACCGATCTCAACCCTATATATATATATATATATATATATATATATATATATATATATATATATATTAAACATTTGTCTGTTCAACGGTCATATACCCATTTAACCAATTAAAAGCGCGACATTTGAAGGGAGAGGTGCGGTAAAACTGCATCCAAAACCGCAGAAGGGGGCGGTCTTCCCATGCCTATCTGGCAAAGAGTGCGGTCAAACCGTACTCACTTCCCATAGTCTAATAGATCAAAGTAGTCTTTGTGGAAAACAATGTATTTGCAACATTATGGGTTACTATTAGCATTGATGCAATTAGTAATGACAAAAAAACATTCTTCATTTTGGGAACGTATGACGCCACTACAACAATCGTTGGTATGTCGTAACTCCGAAGAGACTTAAAAATGACTTTAGTCATACTTTTATCGCTTTGACACCTTTATAAATGATCTTTTTGCAATTTAATACTTTTTTGTAACACCCGTGATATGGGATATAACTTTTGGCATGTAAGTGTAAATTTTATCAAATAAATGAACTTCTATTTAAATCAAATAGTAGAAATTAATTAAAAATGTTTTTTTTTTTTTTGAAACGGCAAATATATATTAAAAGATAACACCTCACATCAAGAATGAGGAAGTACAAAACAAAACAGGAAAGAAGAAAAGAACAAGAGAAAATGTTACAAATAGAGAAATGGACCGAGATTCCAAACTCTCAAATTCATGTTTTTAAATGAACCTCTATGTTTACACCATACGAAAGTTATTGATTTTATCTTTACCACTGTCTTCGCCGGTACGATAGGGATGTTTCTGAAAACCTTGTGGTTCATGTCATTCCATATACACCATAATCCTCCGTATAAGATCTTATTCAACATGCTTCTTTTCTTTTTGCATTTAGACCACCGAGATATGAAGAGTAACATGTCTTTGACCGAATAAAATCCATCATGTGAAATTTCACACCAAGATAAGATCGAGTTCATGACAATCTTCGCCACTGGGCATAATAGAAGAATATGATCGCTCGTCTCTTCATCCAAGTTGCATGACCCACAAATGGTCGATGGCACAGGAACACCCCTAGCTTTTAACGAAACGGATGATGGAATTCTGCCAAGCTTCGCTCTCCAGATAAAGCATAAGATTTTATTCAGTATTACTTTGCACCATTCAAATGGACTATCACAGACAATGTGACTCGCCATTTCAATCCGTTCACATAACAATCTTACCGAAAAATGGGTATCAACCACAAAGCAATCATCATTTGGAATCAATATAAAATTTCCTTGGAATCAAAGTTGAAATTTTTTAACGCGGTTCTGATTTTGACTATATTTTTCCATACCCCCGATCTAGATCTGTTGGCCAAAGAAGCACGATGTCGTCCATCCAGGTCGTGAATGCAACGTATAACATTTGCCCAAAGTGGCGTGTGTTCGTTTTTCAATCGCCACATCCATTTAGCTAGTAGAGAAATGTTGAGACTCTTAATCGATCCAAGCCCTGTACCACCCACCTTTTTTGGGGCAATAAGTGTTTCCCATGCCACACAACTGATGCTTTTCCTTTCCAGGTTGCTACTCCATATGAATCTCCTCCTAATTTCCTCAAGGGTCTCAATAATACCGTTTGGAATGGTAAAGATGGACATATAGTAGGTCGGGAGACTGCCAAGAACCGCTTTTGCTAGGGTTAATCTGCCTCCGAAGCTAAGTGTTTTTGCTTTCCACAATGAGAGTTTAGAATGAAACTTTTCGACAATTGGTCTCCAAGCATTCTTTCGGTTCATGTTTTCACCGACGGGGATACCCAGGTAAGTGAATGGCAGGGATGATGGTTCGCATCCAAGAGGAGCCGACCAGTTCGAGACTTCACTAGGAGATACACCTATACCAAACACTCTGGACTTGCTAAAGTTTACTTTCAGCCCGGATGAAACATAAAAGCATCTTAAGATTCTTGCTAAGTTGGCAATGTTGCGTCTCGACCATTCACCAATGAATAAAGCATTGTCTGCATAAAATAAATGAGACAAACAGATGTTAGAGTTAGGGAATTTTACTCCGTCAAAAATTCCTTTCTTAACCGCAGTTTTCATCGCCACATTCAACCCTTCCATCGCAATGATGAATAAGAAGGGAGAAAGCGGGTCGCCCTGTCTTACTCCTTTAGTCATTGAGAATTCATTCGTTGGGCTACCATTAATAATCACCGATGCTCGACCCGATTCCAGACAGTTACGAATCAAGTATCTCCATTTATTTCCAAAACCCATCTGATTCATAATTGAGTCCAGGTATACCCAATTCACTGAATCGAAAGCTTTATTAAAATCTGCTTTAAAAAGAAGCATCTTTCTTCCTTTTGATTTTGCCCACGAACAAAGCTCATTAACCACCAAAGGACCTTCAAGTATATTTCTTCCCTCAACATACGCGGATTGGACCTCGTCAATTACACCGCCAATGACCTTCTTTAATCGAAGTGCCAACAGTTTTGCAATGATCTTGTATATGGAACCAATTAGGCTGATTGGTCTAAAGTCACCAAAATGAAGTGGATCTTTCGTCTTGGCTGCTAAGGATATAAAAGAAGAATTACATCCTCTAGTAATCTTACCCCCCGCTTCAAAGTATTTAATCATCCCCATAATGTCACCTTTTAGTAACTCCCAGAATTAAAAATGTTAGAACTCAAATTTTAACAGTTTTAAGACAAGAGGTGTCTTTTCAATAATTGGAGTTAATGTATTTTTTTAAACATTTTATAACTAGATTTGGACCATAAAAATAATTTTAATCTGTTCAAACTAGGAACCTAAGGACTTGTAATGTTAGAAAAAATCCAGCATGGATTATTTTGTGAACATGGGGATTTCAAGGACTATTCTTGCCATAATGCAAAACCGAGAAGGCTTAAGACCAAACCCTCTTTTCCCTCACAATTTGAACGATCTTAGTTGGGGAGTAGGGGTGTTCTGGATGGATCGGTTTGATCCGATCCAATCAAGTGAATCCAAATTGATTTCGGTTTTCAAAACATGGATCCGAATAGTCCAAACTAAATTCAAATCTGATCCGATCCGATCCAATTATAATTCGGTTGGATTGGTTTTTATATTCAGTTTTCAAAAACCGAAACATTTTAAAACGAAATATAATTATAATATTACTCAATTTTACACAAGAAGCGACAACAAATTATTTAGTTGTGATTTGAAATTTATAAACAACTACTAGAAGATATATTATAGTTAAATATTTTATAGATAAAAAACTTTTGAGAGATAATACATATTGATGTTTTTTTTATCGGGTGAAACGTTTTGAATCTATTTGAAAAAAAT